GTCCGGCCCCAGGGCAGGGACTGACTAGGTGGGGGGGGGGGGGGGGGGGGAAAGGGGCCCAGGAAATGTGTCCTCTAGGGGGCGCCAGCTCCCATCTGGCCCTGGAGGTGGGTCCATGCAGGTTCTATCACCCCCCCCGCCCCGCCTTTCCCCAGTTCTGCCCTGTGCAGTGGTGTGCCCCCGCCTCCAATGCAGAGAATATCCCTTGATCCCTATCCCCGGGGGGATGTCAGAGGTCACACTGGGGTGGTGTGGGTCAGAGCCGGCCCCGTGGGAACTTGCTCCGCACGTAGGAGAATCTCCCTCCCTGGGTAGCAGTGCGGGGCGCAGGACACGGGGATGTGTGGTCCGACGTCTCTCCGGCAGGGGACCGGGATCTCACCTCTCCTCTCGCTGCTCCGCAGAAACTGTCCTACGCTGTCCAGGAAGCCTTCGTCCGGCTGCACGAGGAGGGGGTGATCTACCGCAGCAAACGCCTGGTCAACTGGTCCTGCACCCTGCACTCTGCCATCTCCGACATCGAGGTGTGTGGGGGGAGCTGGAGCTGCCGGGGGGGGGGGGGGCGGGGGGGGGGGGGGGGGGGGGGGGGGGGGTGGTCTGGGCTTCCCCCCCCCCCCCCAGGTGGATAAGAAGGAGCTGCCCGGCCGGACCCTCCTGCCCGTCCCCGGGTACAAGGACAAGGTGGAATTTGGGGTGCTGGTGTCATTCGCCTACAAGCTCGAGGACTCAGGTAGGGCCAGGGAGGGGGACGGGGGCTGGGAGCAGGACATGGGGCCTTTTCCCTCCGATCTGCCCCAGGGCAGGGACTGGCTGGCTCGGGGGCAGGGAATGGGGCACGGGGCCTGTCCCCTGTAGGGGGCGCCGGTTCTGATCCGGGGCAGGGAATGGGACACAGGGCCCGGCCCCCGTTAGGGGGTGCTGGTTCTGATCTGGGGTGGGGGTGGGGCAGGGAATGGGGCACGTCCCCTGTAGGGGGGGCTGGTTCTGATCCAGGGTGGGGGTGGGGCTGGCTCGGGGGGGTCTCACCGTCTGACTCTCTCCCCACAGACGAGGAGGTTGTTGTGGCGACGACGCGGGTGGAGACCATGCTGGGGGACACGGCCGTGGCGGTGCATCCTCAGGATCCCCGCTACCAGGTACCTGCCCTGGGTGCGGAGCGTGTGAGCTTGGGGGGGAGGGGGAGGTTGCTGGGTGATCCCTGGGAGTGTCTGGTTTTGGGGTCCCCCAAGTGACCCCCTCGTCTCCTCCCCGTTCCAGCATCTCCATGGGAAGCGCGTCCTGCACCCCTTCACTGGGCGGCGCATGCCCATCGTCTGCGACGACTTCGTGGACATGGGCTTCGGGACTGGTATGTGGGGGCGGGGCCTAGGGCAGGGGCGGGGCCTGGAGGAGAGGTGGGAATGGGGGAGGGGCCTGACAAAGAAGCCAATGGGGCTAGGGCCTAGTGAATGTGAGCGGGGCCTAGGGAGGTGTGATGTGAAATACAGGAGGGGCCCAGCCAAGGGAAGTGAAGGGGGTGGAGTGACTTGGGGTGGGGGGGCAGGGCCCAGAGTCATGGGAGGGGCTATGTGGTGTGGAGTGAATATGGGGCTGGGGACAGGTCCCAGGGTTGTTGGTGGGCTCTCAGCGAGGTCAGTGCCTGGGGAGTGGAGTGAGGCTGGGGGTGAAAGGGGAGGGGCACTTGGGCTGCAGCGAATCGCGAAGCATGTCTGACGCCTGCCCCCCCGCCCCCCAGGCGCAGTGAAGATCACCCCGGCCCACGACCACAACGACTATGAGGTGGGGCAGCGCCACGGCCTGGACTGCGTCACCATTATCGACGACAGCGGGTGCCTCATCAACGTGCCTCCCCCCTTCCTGGTATGGGGGAGACCAGCAGGCTGGGGGGTGGATACTGAGCTGGATGGGCCCAGGGCTTGGACTGGTGGTGTCAGCAGCGGGGCATTAAACTGGGGCAGGGGAATTCTTAGGTCTGATCTAGGGCAGGAGATACCAGACTGGATGGGCCCCAGTGCGGGTCTGATCTGTGGTGGCAGTAGTGGGATACCGGGTTGGGTGGGCCCCGGGGCTCTGATCTGTGGTGGCAGTAGTGGGATAATACCAGGCTGGGCCTGGGGGTCTGATCTGTGGTGGTAGAGGTGGGATACCGGGCTGGATGGGCCCCAGGGATCTGACCCTCCTTGCTCCCCACCCAATGCAGGGTATGAAGCGGTTCGAGGCCCGGGGGG